CCAGTGGGGCCCATTCTCAGGACTACTGGCTCAGAGCCCTCAAACCTGACTTTGCCATTTGTTGGCTTTGCCCTTTGACAAGCTAGGCTTCTTGGAGCCTCAGTTTCCTTGTTTGTGAAAGACAGTCGGTGATGCCTCTCTTGCATGGTAGGTCCCTGGAGTAGCAATAGTGCTTTATTCTAGGCTATTATCAATGGGAAATCACAGACCTGTGAAGGGCTGGCTTGTGTCTGGGAGCAGAACAGGGACCACATGGCGGGAAGATCTCCAGGAATGTGTCTTGATCTCCTGCCCAGCTAGAAGTCTCTCGTGCAGCCCAAGGCTCCACTGAGGTAAGAAGACACACTGTCTCACACAGTACCTAGGACACTGAAGGGCAGGGTAAGTATGGGACACAGAAAAATATGGCAGATAGCTAAACCTCTGAGTTAGTCACATGACCTTGGGAAAGTCACTTCAGCAACTCTCCAATTCCTAGTGTTTATCAGTAAAGCAGAGACATTAGGTTTTATCAGAGGTGAGATGTGTGGTGGGCCTGTTCTGGAGGTAAGCATGTGATCAGTGGTCAATGAAGATTAGCTATAAATAAAGTATTTATGAAGCACCTCTTACATTCAGAACACCAAATAGGTGAAGGGATCATATAGAATAAGTGTGTTTTCGTAAATAGATTGTGGATCAGTAAAACAATAAGGCTGTCTGAAGAGGGTGTGAGTCCCTAAGCCCAGCCCAGGTGACTTAGAGGCCTCCTGGCCTACGTGTATAATTTTCTGCTCAAGCTGAGAATAGTGGCTTTTCCAGCATGACACCAGGAAACAGGCATGAAGTGAAATGGGGTTTCAAAACTGAGGGAAAGCTTAGGTCATTCATGCGCATCACAGGGGTGGACTGGAGGCTTACCATGCTCCTGTGGCCATCTGTGGCAGAATGCACATTACGATAAAGATGCCTCTTTTCCACTGCACAAAAGCCTCTTCCTGGCAGTCCAGAGTTCATATTTTGAAAAATAAACTTTTCAGTTACAAAGTGCTATATTCTCATTATTCATAGTTTGGGAGAGAAGAAAAGTGATAAGAAAACACCCTATAATACAGAAGACTGACATTTTCACAATCTTTTTCTACATGGAAAAAATTTTTTTAAATCATCAAAAATGTGCTTCATATATAGTTTGAGGCTCAAAGCCTTCCAGTTAACATTCTGTCACAAGCTTCCTCCATGTTTTCAGACACTATTTTCATGGCTCTACTAGTCTCAGATAATCTGAGCCATGTGTTATGCTTGAACCTGTAGGACTAGATTAATTTAAAAATGACCCCTATCCCACCCCCATAGAGTGCTGGAGAGTGACCCAGCCGCTAAGAGTACATACTGCTTTTGTAGAGGATCAGAGCTTGGCTCCCAGCAGCCACATTTGGGAGGTTCACAGCTGCCAGTACCCAACTGAGGATCTGACTCCCCCTTCTGGATTCTGTAGGTGCTGCACTCACATGTACCCTCTTACATTCACATTTGAAACTAAAAGTAAAATCTTTATATATAAAAATGCCTCTTCCTCAATGGGATGTGCCCCATGTATTCTGCATGCTGGGCTTATTTCTTTGTTTTTAAAAAGTTCTCAGACTTAGGGGAGAAGGGTTAGCTAGTTGGTCATAGGATTCCTCACAGCCAGTGACTCAATTTTAAGGCCCCAGATGGAGTGTGTTGGGGCATAGTGGACCTGGCAGGTGCCGCACCATGTAGTGTTTGGTGACTAATCAGTCTGCCCTGTGTCATTGTTGTCACCTGAAGAGTCACATCAGGTGGAAAAGGAGATAATTCAACATTTTAGCAAATAGGAAATGTTCCAGATCTGATTGACTTGTTGACATATTTCCCAGGTGTTAAAAATGAGTTAATGGTTTACTTTTTTTATTGACATGTGATGAGATCTCAAGGATATCCATCAACTTTCCAGTTAGTCCAGGGCACAGCTCTGTCTCCCTGTAGGCTGCTACTGGCCCAGGGGCTGCACCAGTCAAATCCACTGAACAGGTGGAAGCTGCCATTTAATGAACTTTGGAAAGAAACAAAATTGAAGAGGCTTAAAGTAGAGGAGACAGCATCTGGCCCCTGTCCTTTTACCTCTTCCTCTAAAAGTGACAGAAACAGACTTAGATTCTAACTTTAGCTAATTTTTGCCAAGAAAGTGAGTTAGAGGTGGAAGTGTGCCACTGACTGCAAGTCTTCCTAGGGCAGGCGTGACGCTCTCCGCATGCTTCTGGACACTGTGATGAGGACCTTATGGTCAATTCTGGCTAGAAAGCACTATGAGCTGTCCTGGCTCATTCCTGTAGGGAGATTCATCTTGTCCCATAACATAACCCAAGTGTCCCTAAGCTTCCTTTTTTTTTTTTTTTTTTTTTTTTTCCCAGCCCCAGCTAGGTCTGGGGTCAGTATCAAGTAAACTTTCAAGGTTGGAACCTTCTGAAGGGTCAGAACTGTGCTCTGTTTTTCTTGGTGCTTACATTGCATCAGCAAAGCAGCAGGACTCCCGAAGACAACCCTATACGTACAAGCTTAAGGAAGTACTCCAAGTACTCTTCATTCTGAAGAGTGGGGATGGTGCTAAACAGGCCCCGCTCTGGGGATAGAATCCAGGGCCTGTGTGACCTCCACCATTAAGCTATACCCCTAACCTTTCACCACTTTGGGATAGTACAGAACGGAGACATTTCACCACAGCTAAGCCATATAGCATAATTAAATGAGAGTTTGTGCAAGAAGACAAGCTGAAGACTTCTAGTAGGTGGGGTCCTCTCTGTGTATCTCCTAGCATGGACCACACAGTGGAGTGTCTAGCAGGTCCTCAGCAAACAAGAAATGGTTGAAATTGTTGTGAAAAAGTAAATGAATGAGAACTTGGGATGCTGAGGCAGGAAGATAGTGAGTTTATGTAACCAGACCTTATCTCAGAAAACAACAAAACAGGGTCTCAGGAAGATGGTGTCACAGGTAAAAGCAGTGGCTATGCAAGCCTGATGACCTGTGTTCGATTCCTGGGCCTCACATGAAGGTGGAAGGGGAGAATGGACTTCCAAAAGTTGTCTTCTGGCTTCCACACAAGTGTTGTAGTGCATGCTCATGGCTGCTTATCACATATGCACCTCAACAGATAATACAGAAGCAGAAACAAACAAAAGACAAAAGTATGAAGGAATGAACAAAGGAGTTTTCTCCAGTTCTCCCTCAGAGCTAGTTTGTGCCTGTGATAAAATTGGCTTCAGTAACCATATCAGAGAAGAGAGTGATGGAATTGACAGATACAGCAGAGAGAAGCTCCTGTCCTAGCCCAGACCACAAGGGCTGAGTGAGAGCATGGGCATCTGCCAGTCCTGGACTCGAAAATCAAGCTTTCCTCTAATCTACAGTAGTCATATTGGCCCATAGAGCCTTGCTCCATCGGTCCCAAACACCTTTCACCTCTGCCAGTGGTGTCTCCCTGCTTCAGCTCTGCTGTAGTATCATCTGGCAATTAACCATATCTTGTGTTGAAATGTCTTCCATTGTTATCTTAAAACTTTTAGCTGAGACATAATATTTGTACACCCTTATGGGAATTTTGTTAGAGGCTCTGAAACATGTTTTGGTGTGTAATGATCAGAGCGGGCTGATAAACACTCCCATCTCTTTTGTAGGAAGAAGCACTCTTGTCCTTTTCTAGTTATTTTGCCTTGCACCATTGGTGGTTATAACCATAGTTACTCTCTATAAAAAGCTAGAGTTAGTCTTTCTTACCTAATTGTTTTTTGCTCTCTTGTTTTGAGCTGCCATTTAGGTCTGTGTAAGGGAATTTTTCACAAGTGTTCCTGTTTCCTGGAAGAGAGTTGGTCCCAAGTAATGAGCCCAGGATGTCTGAGGCTCTGACTGAATTCTGGCATAAGACACTCATCCTTCTGGGAATGCTATACAGTTGGGGCATACAGAAATGGTGCGTTGTTGATTACCCTTGAGAATAGCACTGTTTCTTTTGGTCTCCTTCAGCTCTCAGACCATGTAGAGAGCCCGCACAGTGGTGATGCCCAGCCCTGTCAGCCACCTTTGCTCAAGGCTGGTCCTGTGTTCCCTTAGGACTGGAGGTAGCTCTCCTTCAGACTCATACCACTCAGGAGTATGGCAAGTCCCAACTAGATGCTCTGACTGAAAGGAGCAAAAAGTACTGGCATCCAACACTTGCTGGGCCAAGTACCTTGATGGACATGCAGCTCTAAGTAGCTGGGGCAGGTTCTGGACCCAGCAGCTAGCCAAAGAACTTATACACAAACTGTAGGCTCTCTAAGCTAGCTGGGCTGAAGCTGCGGGCGCATCCCCTGCTTCGGCCAGAGACCACCAAACCTTCCCGTGCCTACGACCCCTTCCACTCCTTGCTGGTCCCTCAGCCACCCAGTGGCTCTTCTGCTGTCCTTGTCTTCTCTTTCTTGTCTTGATCCAGGAGACAGAGCAGCTACCAGGACATTCTGATTCATTCCTGATGGAGCTCTTCATAGACAGGGATTAGAGGGACCTCAGAATCTTCTGGTTTGTCTTAAAAGAAGATAGAAACACAAGTTTCTATGGACACCCAAACCATATTACAGTGGCACGTGCACATGCGCGCGCGCACACACACACACACACACACACACACACACACACACACGCACGCACGCACACGCACACACACACACGTGAATTGTGTTCATATGACTTATGAGCATGGAGGCAAATAGTCAACACATTGGTAACTAGAATCTCACCAGGTTTCACAGACATAAAACATTGTGTACTGGCGGCATCATTCTGGGAAAGTAAGGATGTTTTCTCATGGAAAGCAAAGGTTCAGAAGGGGCATCCCAGGCTAACGTTATGCTACACCCTGCTCCTAAGGATGGTCCATCCTCTGCCCTACTGTTTCCTGCTACACCTTTCTATGAGGTGCATCTTGCCTGGATCCCCTAACTCTCTTTCCCTCTCTCCTCCAGGATTCCATGTTTTCGTTGGCCCTGAAATGCCTTATCAGCTTATCCACCATCATCCTGCTTGGTTTGATCATCGCCTATCACACAAGGGAAGTCCAGGTATGTCTCCCCTCTACACACACACACTCAAGTGGTAGCCTATCCTTCTGTCTGGGTTGAACCCACCTGCCCTCAACCCAACTTGAGTGATCTCACAAGATGGTGTCTGAAGTCTTCCCTTTCTCTTTGGATCCTCATGGAGGGTGTCTTTGACCTTAGAACAATTGAGACATTATTTTCTCCCAGGTGGCCTCATGAGTGGGGGTCATATGGTTTCATGACTGAGGGCTGTGCTCTCCCATACACATACACACACACACTGCCTCAAACACCATCAGGGAACCTGCATTTCTGAATGTAGGGACTCTACCTCTGAAGATGCCAGGCTGGGAAGTGCCATTTTCTAGAAAGAGTGGATGTGTGGTGTGGTTGAAGGGAGCCTCTGTTTCTGGCTTAAAAGGGGTGACTCAGTACTCTGGGAAATGTTTCCTGAACATCTGGGTATTCTTCCAGGTTGGCTGATATAGAGAGAATGATAAACTTGCACCATGAGAGAAATGCAGGAGCACACTCTGATATCCTCTCCTGGCAGTGAGTCATTGATCCCCCTCCTCCTGCACCCCGGCCTACAGGCTGATCTGCTCACTGCTGACCCAGGTCATCCAAGATATCCAGATGTTTCTGATCATGAGCCTGTGAATCTGGACACTCTCCGGTTCTCTGGTCAGGGGAACACAAACAGAGTCACATCTGGGCAGCAGGAAGAGATTGACAAAGACCAGAATTCAAGCCTCAGAAAGACTAGGGCCAAGTCTAGGGCCACCTCTTCTTGCTGCATGTTTTTGGTTGGTCCCATGACCTTTCTGAGTCTCAGCCTCCTCACCTGGAACAAGGAGGCTTTATTCCAACTTTGCTGAACTACCATGAGGGTGGAACAGGAAAGTGGGGTCTATGTGTACATGCTAGCCAATAATGCTAGTAAACTGTGTCATTGTCCTGATACAGATGTATTGTGGGAAGCCTTCTGGTCCCTGAATGAGGACCAGCCTCTGGCCAAGTGCTGGAGTTGCTGTGGCTGTAAGGGATATAGTGGTTTTAACTCTAGGCCTCTGGGCAGTATGCCAGTCCTCAGGGTGCCAGAGGCTGGACTCTCTACCTTTTACAGTCTTGTATACTTAGATTGGGCTATGCTTTGAGGGCTGAGTACAGAGGTCACTAGGCAACTTTCTTCACAGAGTTCAAGCTAGACAAAACTTCTGGACTCAAACATAGCCCATTGTCCAGCAGATCTCAGAAAGCAGCTAGTAGCATAAGTGAAGATGACCAAAGGCCATGTCAGGACAGGGTCTCTGGAGTCAGCCTCAGCCCAGGTCCATCCTACCTGAAGCCAGCATGGGGGCTCCCAGCACATGGTGGTCCTCCCAGACACCTTTCTTTTCTATTTCTGTATCAGTCTCTGTGAGGGAAGAACAAAATTGCTGATTCTCTTAGGGTCAGTCCCCTTTCCTGCTTTGGGCCTGCAGTTCTGACATAGTTCAACTGCAAAGTGATCCTGGTCTGGGGGCCGGGCCATGCTGCTGGCAGACCATTTAGTCCACCCTCTGCTTAGGACCACTCTCTGTTCTAGCCCTAACCATGCTTTCTGGGTTTCTTATGTTGGCCCAACAGTTTTAGAGAAAAAAAGTGAAATAGGTAACTTTGATTTAAAAAAAATATTATTATTAATTTGCTGTTCTGGGATGGAACTCAGGCTCTGTGTGTGGCAGGCCAGTGCTCTGTCTCTGAGCTACACTCAGCCCCAAGTAGTGGCTTTGACTGCTAGCTCAAATACTTGAGCTTGGATGATCTTGGGATAATAATAGATTCTTCGTTTTCCACACAAAGAATGGAAGTCTCACCACCTACTTTGCTGAATTTTTTCCTTCCTTCCTTCCTTTCTTTCTTTCTTTCTTTCTTTCTTTCTTTCTTTCTTTCTTTCTTTCTTTCTTTCTTTCTTTCATTTTGAGACAGATTTCTCTGTGTAGCCCTGGCTGTCCTATACTTGCTCTGTAGACCAGGCTGGCCTCAAACTCACAGAGATCTGCCTGCCTCTGCCTCCCAGAATACTGGGATTATAGGTGTGTGTCACCATGCCTGGCTCTTTGCTGAATTCTTAAGGGTGTTGAGATGGCACAGAGTAGAGTGTCTCAAGAAATGGAAACTTTACTCCCTTTCCTGTTACATACACAGGTGCCCTCTAACTGCCTTTTTTTAAAAAATTTATTGTATATATTTTTCATTCACCTTACATCCTTGTTGTAGCCCCATCCGTCTGTGCCTTCCAGTCCCACCCTCTTCCCTCCCTGTTTTCCTTCCCCTTTTCCTCAGAAAAGGGGAGCTCCCTTTCCCACCCCAGCTCATCAAGTTGCATCAGGACTGAGGATGTCCTCTTCCCCTGTGGCCTGGCAAGTCAGTCTGGCCTGGGGAAGTGATCAAAAATCTCACAAATGAGTCCTTGTTAGATGCAGTCCCCACTCTTTTTACTAGTGGGCCCACTTGAAGCCTAAGCTGCCCATCTGCTATATCTTTGTAGGTGCACTAGGTCCAATTTGTGCATGGTCCTTGGTTGATGCTTCAGTCTCAGTAAGCCTCTCTGGGCCCTGGTTAGTTGGCTCTGTTGGTCTTCTTGTAGAGATCCTGTCACTTCCAGGTCATTTTCTCTTTCCTCCCACTTTTCCATAAGACTCCCTACGCACCCAATGTTTGGCTACGAGTCTTGGCATCTGTTTTGAGGCGCTGCTGGGTAGAGCCTCTCAAAGGACAACTCTGTCAGGCTCCTGTCTGCACGTTTAGCGGAGTATCGATCATAGTGTCAGGGGTTGGCACTCTGCAGTAAGGTGTGTCTTTTGTTGGGCCAGGCATTGGTTGGGCATTCCTTCAATCTCTGTTTTGTCTGCTCTGTTTTTATCCCTGCACATCTCGTAGGCAAGGTAAATTTTGGGTCAAAGTTTTTGTAGGTGGGTTGGTGTTCCCCTCTCTCTGCTAGGAGACTAGTCTAGTTAGACAGTGTCCTTTAACTTCTAACTGCATCTTGGAATCTGCCAGGTGAGCCATCTGCATGGTCACTAGCATTGCTGCCTACTCCTGGCTTTCCCTCTGTGGTGCCTGGGCTCAGTGCCCACTACCCAGCCCCTCATCATGCTGTACCTACTGGCTTCCAAGGGATATTATCAATGTCTTCACTTCAACAGTCACGTTCTTCCTATAGCTGGCTGTGCTGTCTTTTGTCTCCTTCCAGAAAGGAATGTAAATGGTTTGAGCCCAGAGAGCCAGCAAGAGAGGTGTTCCCATCTGTACTTCATGAGACCAAACTACAGTTTTCTGCATGATGGCTTTCTCTATCACTTCAGAAACAAAGATGTTATTAATGTTTGCATTTCCAGAAACATACAGTGCCTGACAGAGAGCTGGTGTTTGCAGCACATTTTAGAATAGAAGGTACTGGACTGAAGAGCTCTAGTTTCTAAAACTGTATCATTATTTTGCTTTGTGGTCTTGGGCCTCAGTTTCCTTGTCTAGTCATTAGGGTCCTAGACCCCTAGTTTTAAATTGCTCAGTCTAGGTATGGTTGTTCACCTTTCCAGGCCCTGTTTACGGAGTTTATATTGAGGATCTGTGTCCTGTTGTGACTGATAGAGAGTTTCCAGGGAAAACAATGGAAATACTTTCCCTCTGGGTGGGCCAGCTACTGCTGTGAGGGTGGGATGATGGCTGTCCCATCTCCTAGTCTTAGAGGACCACATCCTATCTATGGCCACTCACCTAGCACAAGACCTGCTGGGTTCTATGAGTACTACATTAATGGAGTGACAGTGTACATTTAGAATGTCCCCCTTTTGCTTTGAGGAAAGGAGCCAGCTTTTCTGGAACTTGCTCTCAGCTCCAGTCTTGTCTCTGGAGCAGCAAGAAAAACATCATGATTTTCACATGCTCACTTTTGTTGTTGAAGATGGTCATCCGCCTTTCCTTGGCCTTCATCTTTTATGGTACTTTGGAGTGGGGCTTTGAAAGACTCTGGTACCTTTTATCCCTAGGCCTGTGTATCCAAGAAGGAGAACACAAAAGCTATGCATTTGGGGCTTTCACTGGAAGCCATGCTTGTTCATAGACAATTCACTCTTGTATCATTCTACTTTAGATGCCTTTGGGGTATCCCTGATTTATGCATGAGGCTGTTCTCCTGCCAGCATGCCCTCCCTGCTCTTCATTGCCCATCCAGCTCTGATAGTTATTCAGCAAGAGGTTTATCGAGGCTGCTCTGTGCACAGTTGGTGGGGAGCTTTTCTCCCAAGGCTAGAAACCCTGACATCATCCTTGCTTCTCTCAGAGATTGCTAGCCTCAGCTGTGGCTGGTGTTGTCCTTGAAGGCAGCTCAGTTTGGGTTCAATCCAGGCTGTCACCTTTTGGTGTATGGTTGTATGGGTTTGACCTTACATCCATAAATAAGAACATTTCTTACTATCCTTTTCTCAATTTCTTTTCTGTAAAATCAGAAATAGTGATTGTCCCTATCACAAAGACTGCTGTCCAGGTCAGATTTGTGCATCAGCTTAGCTAAGGCCCTGTGTGCCTGCCCACAGGGAGGAAAGGGTGTCTGTCTTAGTCAGTGTTCTATTGCTGTGAAGAGACACCATGACCAAGGCAACTCTTATAAAAGAAAGCATTTAACTGGGGACTTGCTTACAGTTTCAGAGGCTGAGTCCATTACAGGGTGGGGGTTGTGGCAGCACATTAGTCCCTGGAGCAGTAGCTCTATCCTGATCTGCAGGCAGCAAGCAGAGATGGGGGCGGGTTTGAAACCTCAAAGCTCATGCTCAATGCCACACCTCCTCCAACGAGGCCACACCTCTTAATCCTTCTCAAATAGTCACTCCCTGGTGACTAAGCATTTAAAATATGAGCCTATGGGAAACATTTTTATTCAAACTGCCACAGTGTCCCTAACAGAGGTCATACAATAAACAAAAGCCCTGGGGTGGAAACTGCAATGTCCTTTCAGAATGCTTCAAGGCTAAGGTCTT